GTCTGAAAGTGCCCAGAGAAGGTTTACATGAACTCAGGCCAAGTAGTGAAACGGAGAAAATGCAGTGCCTCTCTGGCCTCTTCCCAGGCTTTTATTAATTTCTAACAAACGTGCATTTGCAGAAGATAGTGAGAAAAGAAGTTCCTAGGTTCTTTCAGGAACCTGGATAGCGAGAGAGACTGGGTAAGTGGTAGGGGATTGGTAAATAGCCCATGGTGCATTTAAATAAAAGGGGAGGGAGAAGCTAGTTCTAAACCAAGTTTCTTAATCTAACTACATTTTCAAGAGTTTAACCCTTCCCATCTGTTGACTCTCCAACACACAGTGCTGGAGGGCTGATGCAGCCCTGCAGCGGGAAAGTTAAGGTGTGGTGTTGTCCCTGAAAGCTGGAAACAAATGCTTCTGACGGGTTCACTTGATATGTGTAAAGAAATAGCCATTCTGCGCTGAGTATTATAAAGTCTGTGCTGATTTGCTCCAGAAACAAAGCCTCAGCAGCTGTGTCTGGAGGTGTAGCAGATCAAGATTCCATTACTCTGTAAGAGGCAGATAAACTGACTTCTCAGCAGGGCTCCCTGCCTCAATCCCGAGGTATTCAGGGGAACGTTTACAGATGAGCAATCCCTGGGGGTTCTTCAAATCCAGGGACGATGAAAAGAACCCGAGGCACCTGGACTGGCTGCACTAGCCCTGTGTATTGACCTAATTTTAATAGACCAGACATGCACCACATATACCTATCAGTCCAGCAGGCCTGGTTCCTGTGTCAACCACCTCTATATGTTGACCAGTTTGTTACTGTCCCTTGGGTGGTAACTCACAGAGGTTTTAGACTCAATGGTAACACATGCCTGTGCCTTAAGTGAGAAAATAAATCCCACAAGAATTTAGGGACCTGATACTTCAGTGGCATTTCTAGGGGTCTTGTGGCGTGGGGCATGTTAGGAGTCCGTTTCGAGAGGCAGGATGAGTACCAGCGTCTGGCCCTCCATCCGTAGAGAAGGAAGGACAACGTCTTTTGGGCCCTCTGAATTTTGGAGACACATAGATTATTGGTTGTGCTACTTCAGCTCACTTATTAGTCAGCCTGAACAGCTGCCCAGAACAAGAGAAGGTTCTGCTACAGGTCCAGGCTGCCCCTCAAGGGGCTCTGCCACTTGGGGCAGAAGATCCAATGGTGTGTGAAGTGTGTGCACAGAGATGCTATTGGATGATAGAATCAGGTGTACCCACCCAAATAGACCTGCCCCACCCAGATGAGACTGACCTGCCCGGGTAGAACTAACCCGCCCAGGAAGAACCTAACCCACCCAGGAAGAATCAAGTGTATGGTGCATGTACCTCCCTCCCAGGAAGTGGTAGAAGGACCAATCCTTGTCCCCCTTAGCCCTTTAAATACCCCTCCCTGGCCCCCTCCTCCCCCAGCCCCAATTACCCATGTGTAGATTTCTTTCCCAGTTGGAGATCTCGCCCCACCTGTACCCAGGTGGAATAAAGCCATTTTAATTGCACAACCCAGGGCTCCGTTTTCCTTTGTCTCTTGCCTTGGAATGATCTTTCATCTTTTTGGCTCTGAAACTTTCCCTCAGAAGCTCTGACGGGCCTCTGGGGACAAATCATAGGGCAGAGCCTTGGGGTTTTAGAGCAAAGCCATGCCGCCAGCGAGAAATAGTATCTCAGTAAATAAAGGCTTGCTAATGGGCCTTGGTAAAAACTGAATGCTTGGCCTTAGATCACCAAGTTATCATGACTTACATTGCCTGTTGTGAACTGAGTGTTATCTGACCCATCAAGACGGAGCAGGGCATGAATAGCAGCAATCCCATC